AGATCTTAGGTTATAAAGTTCTGTGAGAATGGTAGCTCAATAACTATTACCAGTCAAAGCAACTTTAGAACATTAGCAATTACTAGAAAAGATGAAATAAAGAGCAAAGAGAAAAGAAGGGTCTCAAGGCCAGGGCAGTGATCCTGCTATTTGCCTTGTTCCTTCCTCTCTGGATCCTGAACTCCACCATCTCATGGTCACTGCAGCCAAGGCTGTCCCCAAACTTCACGTCCCTGAACAGTTCTGTTTTTTTTTTTTTTTTTTTTGCTAGTATCAAGTCCAGCACAGTGCTTCCCCTCATGGACTCCGCAATCACTTGTGTCAGGCAGCAATCATCAATGCACTCCAGCAATCTCTTGGATTGCTTGTGCCCTGTTGTGTTGTCCTTCCAGCAGACGTTGACTTGATTCAAGTCCCGCCATGAGGGCCAGGGCCTGTGAATGTCAGTCTTGTTCCAGTTTTCTGAAGACCTCATCTACCTCTCCTTCCCGATCAGGTGGTCTATAGCAGACACCCACCACAACATCGCCCACATGGATTGTCCCTCTAATCCCAACCCATAAACTCTCAACTGGCCACTCAGCTGTCCCCAGGCAGAGCTCCATGCATTCCCACTGCTCTCTCACATAAAGGGCAACTGCTCCTCCTCATCTTTATGGACTATGCTTCCTATAGAGCCTGTGTCCATCCATTGCAGCATTCCAGTCATGTGAGCTATCCCACCATGTCTCCATGATCCCAATGAGATTGTAATCCTGTAACTGCACACAGACCCTAAATTCCTCCTGTTTGTTCCCTATGCTGCATGCATTAGTATACAGGTACTTCAGAGAGCCACCCAGTCATGGTGAGATGCTTCAGCATTAAATGGAAAGATGTGCATATATATTTTTTTTTCTGCCACAATGCAACATATGTACACACTTTAAACAATTACTAACACAAAGCAGTATAGCACCTTGGTTTATTACATGTAGATTCTCCTGCATTGCTGCTGAACAGTACAGTGGTCTAAAATTACTAAAATATTTTAACCTCCCTATACACTGGGTTAAAAAAACATGAATAAAACCAACATAGTTCTTTGTATATATAGTTTAGTTCTTTGTATATATAGTTTAGTACAGATTTGTCACGGAATGAGTGGTGGTGGAGGTGAGTGACACAATGCACTTCACTCGTGGGAAAGAAATAGGAATAGGTTTTATCAATAATGACAATGGTTTCACGAGATTCTATGGCAAGGTCACTTCTTATTTACTGCATGGAGGTTCAAGATACACACAGAATTATCAAGGACACCCTCCCGTTGGGTCACGAGGTTCAGATTGGACCCCCTTGCTTTCCAAACTCCTTCTGAGAGGAGTCTGGGCGCGGCTGGATCCAGTCCTAGTCCCAGACCTGGTCAACGGTTTATGTCTAAGGGATTTGTGCACAGTTACAAAGTAAAGTTTACAAGTTCAGAAAGAGAAAGGCGCGCTCTAGTCACTTACCACGAATCTGTAGTGGGAAGGATCTCTTAACCTCGAGGAGTATCCTTGAGAGGCGTCCCTGCTCAAGGGGAGATCCTGGCGTGCAGCCCGCTGCCATGCAAGGAGAGCTCAATGGGCTCTCGGGCTGTCCCCGTATTTATGTGATAAGATGATTGACTTATAGTCATTCTTTCAATTCAGAAATGACTGTTGGCTGGTGTACTCACAGTTAGCCTTATCTCCCCATCAGGATGGAGCCATCTCTGGGTGGGGGAAGAAATCAGGGAGGCAACTACCAGCATCAGATTATGTGGTAGTTAACACCTGAACAGGGCTACCTGTGAGAAGTCAGGTTGAGCTGGGGAAGGAACACATCTGTCACAAGATTGTTTGGAATTCAGGACTCTATGTAATTTTATACCATAGACTGAATTTTTATAGCACATTTCTATTTTACAGAAACAATAAAAAAGACAAATAAAAAGAGGAGACACATGCTATTATAAAGACCACTGCTACAGAGTATACATTGTAAGATAGAACATATTCAAAAGGCTACATTTCTTCAAACTATTTTTTTCCACATATATTAATTGTTTGGTCATTTCTGACCATTTTATTAATCCTCTGAAAGCATACCTCTGACTGAAACTGAATATATTGTTCCTCCTCAAGCCCCACAGGTAAACAGAAAAGACCTAACAAAATAATTTTCTAAGAAATCAGCTATGATTTAAACAAAATAAGAAAGGATTTACCTTATAACAACCACTTTCAAAGTCCCCAACATTTCAAAGTAAGTGACTCATTTGCTCTAAATTCAGGATGCAGCTTTGTCAGGTTTATCTAGGCAAGATGATTGAAAAGGAGGAAAGACAGTAATAGGATTCCTGTTTGTGGACACTACAACAGGAGGTAGTGACCAAACTTTTGATGCTGAAGTATTGATAGCATTCAAAATGGCTCCCTCCGGACTGACCAACAGTTTTTTGATAGATGAATCTAAGTCAAACACTGAAGTGTTACTTGATAACTGACAATTCCCAGGGTGCATAACAGAAATCAAAGAAGTTGCAACTAAAACATTAGCTGGAGGTTTTATCACTGAAGACACAGACTGTGTTGTTGACGGTGAAGCACACGCACTAGCATGAGTATTCAATATATGGGGCACTGCGTGTACAGTGGGCAAAGCATTTGCAGATCCAGAAGAGTTCACAATTCTTGTAGAGCTTATCAAAGGTTGTTTTGACATTTGCCAACTTAATGAATTAGTTGATGCTAGCGTAATATTCAGGGGTATAGGATTAACAATTGGTACACCTTGAGCCCCTTGACCATGGTTAATAGCTAAAGGAAGAGGATTCTGCTTTGCGCTAGAAGAGAGAACATGGCTGCCAGATCCAAGGCCTTGTGGTGGAACAATAAAATGGGTACCATTAATCATTATCTCAGTTCCAGGTGCCAAAGGCATACAAATGTTAATAATTATTTTCTGTTGCATGCAAGGTTCATTCAATTGATCTCCTGCCTGGCTTTTTACAGTGAGTAAAGGTGTATCCATCTGAATAGCAGAAGAACAAGTGTAAGTATGACTTTGTTTCACTATATTGGGAGACATCTGATGACATTGTATTGAAGAAAAGTTGGGAAAACTAATGACTTTACCTGTATTTTGTGAAGTAGATGACAATACATTTTGAGGTTTGTGATTATCTGCATTAGTTATCACAGTAGCTGATGTTCCTGGTGACTGAAACTGAAGCAATGTGTGTGGCTGGTCTTTTAGAAGTGAGGGGAGAGCTGGAACTGCTGTGAAGTGAGGAACTGTATGTATCACTTTGGGGGAGGTGGCTATAGATCCAGGCAGGCTAACAGCTGGAAATTCTAAAATGGATGATAACTTTTGAGGAGACATTGTTGTTTGTGTAGTGGAAATTAACACAGATGAAGCATGTCTTGTTTCTACAGTTGATATACCCACAGTATTTCCAATATTCGATGTACACTGTTGCTTAGCTAAAACTGGCCTTATTCTTGAAGTGTTGTTTCCACCAATCAAGATGGTAGGTTGTATCCCAACAGAAGTCTCCTTTGATGTTACTGAAACAGATTCCAAACATGCATTTGCTGCTGTTACTGTAAAAGCAGTTACAGCTTTCGTTACGATACCTATGGATTCATTCAATGATACAAAACTTGAACATACTGGAACCAAACTACCACTGCTTGATAAACATAAAGTAAAGCCTATCCTCTTTTTGTCTTCTCCTTTAGAAATGAATTTGTGGATCCACTTAATGTTCTTGCTGATGTAATAGCCTGAGTAGCTGTAGAAACAGTGGGTAAAGCCAAAGATATAGGAAATGTAGTAGCTGAAACTGTACTCTTGGTTTTGCCAGTTTTAAAGTGGCTCATTGTAATTGATGATGACAATAAGTTACTTGTTGAGGTTATAGAATGCAGTGGATGCAGTCTGTTCACAGGACTAGTTAGCTGTGACAGATGCATAATATTCTTGTTAAAAATTGTACTAGGCAGTTGATTGGTAGCATGTGCAGTTGGTGTTACCAGGACAGGTGTTAAAGAAACATTGACAATTGCTGCTTGTGAGAAAGTTGTACAGTGCAGTTCAGGAGACTTTTGTTTCAGTGATTTAATGTCCTGAAGGGATATAATTTTTCCTTCGTTTTGCTGAATAAGAAAATCCTTAAGTTGCATGACTTTTTCTCCAGTTTTAGGGTCAATCACATGTTGCATTTCAATTTTCACTGAGCTATTGTGAAGGTCTATTGGTACATAATGGCTACCTGGCATTTTGTATGCTGTTTGTAAAGGACTCCTTGAACTGGTCTGGCAAGGCAATGCTGGTTTTACTGGCAGTGATTCCATGGGTGATATAACCGTTTTTTCAGAAGTATTTATGCCTAGGGTAGGTGGCAGTTGATTTGTTAAGGTCAATTTGTTTCCAATACTCTTGGCAAGCAAGGCCTGGATGGGTTTGGTCCCTATCAGAAAATTTGATATTGATGTTGCAGGATCTGACAGGGAAAATGATTCTGGAGCTGCTTGTTCATGTTGTTTCAGCTCACTTAAACAACTGTCTGTCTGCATGCCTCTCTCTGAACTCTGGACTAGAGCTTCAGTTGTGCTCAACTTAGCTTTCTTCCTCGGTCACAGTTCATCTGTGCTATCATCCAGACAACTGTTCTGCTTGGATTGTCGTTTGAAAGATTTGGTCAGTGTCTTATGTATTTCTTTAGAAGTTCTTTTTTTATTTAGAGAAAAAAAAGCTGATAAAACCACCTCTATCAGTTTCATTTCACCTGCAAAAATAGCAAAATAAAAACTGTAAGTATTTTACAAGATTGCAATTGATACATCCATATGACAGTTTATCACCATTTAGATAAAGGCAAAGTGCTAATTTATAATTATTTGTCATGACAACTATCAGGAACAGATTCTAAGGTGATGACAGCATTAATCATCTGTACTGAATTTTACTTTTTTAAAAAAATACCTTAAGCTACAGACAATTTAATGTAAATTATTCTGAGCAGGCCTACTATTTTAGCACAGAAATAATTAAGCAAAAAAAATGACAAAAACTTACTAATACATAAAATCAGATTTCTCATCTAGGTCATCTCTGCCCCCTTCTCCTGGTCTACCATCTATCAAAAGTGCATCACAATCAACTCAGTATACTTGCACTATAATTAAAGTAAAATATATGACAGAAACTTGTGTAAAAAAAAAAAAAAAGGTAGACCCTTAAATCAAGTCCAGACTATTAAATTTCAGTAAATACTTACCAAAGTCTGGGTGATCAGAAACATCCTCATGTTCTGCAGACTCTGAAGATTTACTGCTTATTACTTTAAAAGGGTCAGCATCACCCTCACTTTTGTCATTATTCCATAATTCTCTGGTAAATTTACCATGGTCTATCTGTCTTTGAAAGTCATCATAGTCTTTCTTCAGTCGAGACCTTGAAAATAATGACACACAGCAACTAACTTCAATGAAGAACAATACTCAATTTTCATGCTTTTACTTGTAAATTGTTCCCCAATTTTTTTCACATAGAAGAGATAGCCTAGAATAATCTATACCCTTTAAAAATGTGCAAGGTAGCTAAATTCAGGTCTCTCAAAGTCAGGAAATAAAAAGTGGCAGTAACATCCCTTCCCTCACTGAAATGAAATTCTGTCCTCTTAAGCTCTCTAACAATAACCGAGACTGAGTAAAATCTGACCAATCACTACTTTCCTGCCTCTGTTTTCTGATTCTTCATACACCTTGTATTATGCTGATTAATACCTGAATCAATATAGGTACATCTGTAAGAAATCTAGGAATCTACTCTTTCTTTTAAAGGCCGTGTCAGCTAGAAAAATAAGCAATTCTTGTTTTCAGGAATACATTGTGACTTTGGCATGATTAGATGACCATAATGTTTCCTCTTTCAGTAAAACACCTACCTCATTTTACAACCACTTAAATAGCTGCCACTCACTTCCAGAAATTCCTATTCCATTTCTAATGTGCAGAAGATAGAAATACAGAATCACAGAATAGTTGAGATTGGAAGGGACATCCTGAGATCATCTAATCCAACCCAACTTCTCAAGCAGGGTCACTTAGAACAGGATGTCCAGGACCATGTCTGGTTGGGTTTTGAATATTTCCAGGAATGGAGACTTTACAACCTCTTCAGGCAACCTGTTCCACTGTTCAAACACCCTCACAGTGAAGAAGTGTTTTCTGATGTTCAGACAGAATTTTCTATCCTTCAATTTGTGCCTGTTACCTCTTGTCCTGTCACTGGGCACCACTGAGAAGAGTCTGATTCCGTCTTCTGTATGCCCTTCCATCAGATATTTATAAACATTGATAAGAACCCCCTTGAGCCTTTTCTTCTTGAGGCTAAAAAGTCCCATCTCTCTCAGCTTCTCCTTGTATAAGAGATTCTCCGGTCCCTTAATCAACTTTGTGAATCTTTGCTGGACTTGCCCCAGTAGGTCCATGTTTATCTTGTACTGAGGAGCCCAGAATTCAATGCGTGACTACAGATATGACATAGGTATTTTAATACCTGGCAAATACATATTATACTCTATTTGAACACTCTTGTGAAATAGTATACACTGTGAAACCATACTTAACTTTTAACTTGATATTCATACAGTGCTACTTACTCTCTTATCCTTTCTTCTATCAGTGCTTAGATGAGATCTAGTGGTGTTTTAGCATATAAAAACAGTGAACTACAGAGTTCAGCCAGTGGTAATTAAACATGACATCGGAAAGATTCATTAAGTGTTGCAGTTCAAATGGCTGCAGTGACCTGGTTCAGGGACGGCACGGCGACCACCCCCAAACCACTCGGGCTATCAGCTAGTTGAACCAAATGTGGTGGAGGGG